AACAGTCTTACACAATTCACAGCGCTCACCATAGCACATACCCTCCCCAATGTCTATCACCCAGCCACCCCACCCCTCCCGCCCTCACCACTCCAGCACCCCTCAGTTTGTTTCCTGAGAGTAAGAGTCTCTTCTGGTTTGTCTCCCTCTCTGGTTTTGTCTTGTTTCATTTCGTATTCTTGGTGGTGGGAACAAACTGCTCTAGAAAACTCACTTCAGAACCAGGGGCAGTGTTCACGCCGCCGGTCTGTTAGCTTCCGGCTCAGCTCTCAGGTGTGCTCTCAGGTGTGATGGTGGTGCCGTGGGCCCTGGAGCACGTTCTCATCCTCAGGAGACACGGGCTGAGGCTTTGGGAGCTGAGTGTCCTGAGGTGCGCGTCTGCAGACGAGTCCAGCACAGCACATGGGTGAGTACAAATGCACGGGGGTGTACGCACAAAAAGGAGAAAAGGCAAGCATGGCCACCACAAACACAAGAGGAGAAATGTGCCCTCTTTGGAAACACTTCTGACGGAGTAAAATGAGAGGAGCAGTCCATTATGAATGACTTTCTAGAAAGAATAATTTTTTAAATACTCCTGATCATTTTCACTTTGGCCCAGGCCGAAAGCCGGCCTGCTTTGGCTCTGGCTCTGCCTGGGAGGGGTGTCCTCCCCAAGCGCTTCACCCCGGCACCGGGCCGTGGCTGTGGGCGGTGGTGAGGTCCCCGCTGGAGAACACGGCGGGGGGGGGGCACGGGAGCAGCGCACCCCTTTGGGAGTAGGCAATCTTCAGGGGAAGGGCTGGGAAAGCGTTGCCCTGATAACCCGTGAAGGTCAGTGGCCCATACATCCTTGTTTGGACACGCTCAAGGTCAAACCCGCTGGGCTCTGGCGGCCCATGGGCACACACACAGCATTGTTTCCCGAGCCTGCGCGGCCCTCCCTGGGCCTGACATCACCTCTGCACCCTCGGAGCCCTCGAAGCCGGGCCCCATTTCCCTTTCATCATCTTATCGTGCAAACATAATTTTTCATCATTTATCCAGCTGAGCTCAAGATAAATGTCCCCTGCTTGTGAACTCGACCCCGCAGTGGTCAGCTCCTCCTGCCGGCGTCGGCAGGGTAGCGCGGGGTACAGAACCTCAGGGGTGGGAAAAAGGAAAGCGCTGATGCCCGGGCCGGGATTACTCTCCCGACCGTTGGCAACTCGTCCAGATTGCACAGGAGCGTTCCTGAGGCACCCGCTTGTGTGTCCTCACCCCCTGTGCTCACGGAGGTCTCACGAGGGGTTCGGGGGGCTCCGGGCGCTTAGCTCCCGCACGATGTCTGCGTGAAGCTGCCTCCCCTGTTAGCGACCTGCTGTCCACAGGATGTGTCTTTGACTTGGTTCTAGACAGCCCCAAATTCCGCGGCTGGCATTGTTCTCCGCTCTTAGGCTGCCTGACTCCTTGCGGGGCTCCCACTTCCAGGTGGTGCGTCTGCGCCCCCCCGACCCTGACCTCTGTGGGTTCCCTGGCGCCAGAGGCCAAGCTGCCCTGTCCCCCGAAGTGTCTGCTGAAGCACCCCCCTTGCTGCCCCTGCTGCGCTGGCCTGTGTGGCCCGCTTGGCCGGAAGGTCACAGGAACCCGCTCACTGGCCCTCCTCTGTCACCAGCATGCCCACTTGCCCATCCAGAGCCCGGCTTTGTCGGCCAATATTTTTGAAACCCAACTTCAGGGACTTAATCTCCTTGCCAATGATCCTTTGATGGTTTGCTGTCGCTGACCAAACCCCACGCCCACAGCGTGGAGACCGGGGCCCTTCGGTCAGCTCCACGTGCACCGTGGGACTGCCATGTCTGGGGCTGGGCCACAGCAGGGCTCTGTGCCCAGGGACCCATGCCTGGCGGTGCCCCCAGAACGCCCTGCTCGGCTCCTCCCCGAGGGAAGCTCTCCATCCCTGTCCCTCTGGGCACGGCTGGCTGCTCCCCTTCACCACAGGGCCTGTTGGTCAGACTTCAACCAGCTCTTGGAGCTCAGGATGTCCCCAGGCCCGGCTCTCTGGGCAGCACCGGGCAGGCCCCCAGGAAGCGCGGAATGGGATCAACAATTCGCACTTTCGTGAGGGGCCTCTGCTGAAGAGGCTTTGAGCGGATGTCAGAGACCAGAGCCACGCGAACAAACGCCCACGCACACGACACTGAGAGCTGGCAGCGAGGCCCAGAGGGGGTGCGATCGGAGAGGAACCGTCGCGGTTGACTCCCACACCAGCCAGCGCCCAATGCGCCCCCACAGCCAGCCTGCTGTTGGGAACCGTGATCAGGACGCTACGTGCGCGCTGGAATCAGGGGCAGGGCAGCCAGACGAGGATCAAAGTCAAGCGAAGGACTTCAGTGGCCCCTCGGGAGGTGGGGGTCAGGCAGGGTGTCCTGTAGCGCTCCGGGCCCGGCATCTTGCCCTGCTCTCAGCCTTCGGTGCAGAAAACAGAAGACACTTGCTATTTCGGCCGAGAGGTGGTCCCCGAGGGCATCAGGCTGGCGAGGGCCCAGAGGGCTGGCAGGTCATGTGGCAGGAAGCTCCTCCCGCTTGACCCAGAACGGGCCAGCCACGCTGTTCGTGACCCAGAGAATCCCAGACAGCGAGCGACTGCTGCCTTCCACAGGGAGGCTGCGGTGACCGGGGACGTAGCGACAGGTTGACACCGTCCCCCCACTACTTGCAGAGGGGCGGTCAGCGGCCAGGGCAGAGCCCAGCCAACCCCGCCTCGATCACTGACCAGTCACCGTGAGTGACATCACGCGTCTCCCGATGCGGCGCACCGAGAAGGAACGAAGCTGTAACCTGTGGGAACAGGGGACAGCATGAAAACCCAAACGAAGGGACTGAGCCAGCATTCCATCAATGTTCATTTCCCGATTTGGGTAATTAGACGGTGTTCTTAGGAAATACAGTCATTTAGGGTGAAGGGATGTGATAATGCAACTTTAAGTGGTTCAGAAAACCCTGGGTCTAGCTACTGACCGAGGGACCGACCCACAGAGAGAAAGCACAAGTCCGATCCCGTGCCTTGGGGTGGGAAGGGTGCCTCGAGCGCACATGTGGAGCCTGAATCCTACACAGCCCCTTCAAGGAGCGCTCAACTCTTGGTGACTCGGTGCCCGAGGCCGCCCCGCACATGCGCAGGCTTTGATCCCGAGGCTCTCTGACTGTGGCTCAGTGATCAGGGAATGAACGGGGCCCCCGCTCCGTCCACTCCAGCTCCTCCTGCTAACCCAGGTGCCCCGAGTCCAAGCAAACCACTGAAACCCTATCACTGTTTACACAGCAAGGCCTAACTGGTTTTTTACAGAAGAGGCAAAGGTGATTTGCTTAATTATTTTTGTGAAAAAACATCAGAGTATTTTAAAACTTTGAAGGATGAGTTCTGCATTATGAATGCCTTACACAAATTCTGTATTTTAAAATAACTTAAAACTTACAGGGAAGTTGTAAGAATATACTTTGTCCGTATAAACTTCACCCAGATCCACTAATGGTTAACATTTTGCCTCCTTTGCTTTATCTGGGTCTTTGGGCAAAGAAGGAGGGGAGGAGCGAGACGGAGACTGTATTTTTTAGATAGATTTCCAAAAAGTGGAAAGATAAGGCATAGATCTTAGAACCAGCAAACCTGTTCTTTCAAAATAAACCTTCACTGGCACTCTAAATAAAATATAAAAAGTGATTTACACATTATTTTTTTTTTCAAAAAAACTTTTAAGATTTTATTTATTTGACAGAGAGAGGCACAGTGAGAGAGGGAACACAAGGGGGAGAGGGAGAGGGAGAGGGAGAGGGAGAAGCAGGCTTCCCTCCGAGCAGGGAGCCTGAGGCGGGGCTCGATCCCAGCACCCTGGGATCATGACCTGAGCCGAAGGCAGATGCCCAAGGACTGAGCCACCCGGGCGCCCCCCTTTAGTCTCTATTTTAAAGATGAAATCCCCCAGGGGCTCTTGGCTGGCTGTTGGTAGAGCATGCAACTCCTGATCTTGGGGTAGTGAGTCCAAGCCCCAGGTTGGATGCAGAGATTACTTAAAGGGAAAAAAAAAAGATGAAATCCCCTAAAAGAGTCTTTTCAGAAATTCTATCAACAGAACAGCAGTTCTCAACCTGCATCATAAGAAGTCCAAAAATTTACATATACACCAAGCACTGATGGCAGTATTTTTTAAATACTGTTATTGTAATACATTTTAAAATCCTATATATTTAAAAACAAATCTGAATTCACAGTAGCTTTTGGTCAAGACAGAATTATTTACTGAAAGCATACTTACTAACATGTGATAAGTCACGATATTTTGCTGTTAAAAAGGGCTTTTACAAAAAGGACAAATTTATGGAGAACCTGTCATATAATACATGCAAGACCAGGATATTAGGAATTAAGTCACAAGTATATTCCATGGCAGAAAAACATTTTTATTGTTTTAATAATAAAAGACAATATAAAAATAAAAATTCAGTTGACACAAGTTTATCTTCTGCAAAAAACCGGCCTGAGCTCAGCCACGCCCCCAACTAGGTTCAGTGAACGTCAGGGATGGGGGGACCGTCCTTCTCGGTCTTAGTGGCCGCCCCCACAGTGACTGGCCTCAGGTCAGTTCCGTGAGTCTTCGAGGAAGTGGGAGCTTGCACCAAATGCAAGTCGACTGTGTCAGTAAGCACGCGGTCTAGCTCGACTGGTGCATTTTTCTTCCGAGCCAGACTTCTGGATGCAGGACGCTGTGCTGGCTTTCAGCGGAGGCAGGCACCTGGATTAGAACGGACCGCTCCCGCAGAGAAAGTGGGGGCTCTCGGGTAGCGCGCTCTGTTCTCTGCGGACGAGATTCAGAACCGGCTGGAAGGCATGGGTGTGGTGTGGCCGTCGGTGGGGTCGACAGGCACGGGGGAGGCCAGCAAACAGGTGTCTGTGTTCCTTGTGCGTTCAAGACTTGAGCCATTAGTTTAGGGGCGCACACGGAGACGCTTACGACTTCACGTGGTCATTTCTAAACACACACTGCTGTAGGGCCACCTAAAGATAGTGTTTGAAAGTCTGCGACAAAGGGGAGCTTGCGCGGGAGCGGCCTCACTCAGGCCAAGTGACCGCTCTGCGGGACCGTGCGCTGCCGGGCATGTGTGGATGCTGCAGAAAATCCTACTCTACACACACATTTTGATGACTTTTCAATAACTGGAGGTGACATTTAACTCAAGTTCGCAGCATTTAAGACAGAGAAGCAAAGTCTAAGAGCTGGAGAACAGACGTTTGTCGATCTATGCCTTCTCAGAACCAGCCAGAGTTGACGGGACTCGTGGGGCGTGTCTTTCACTAGATAAACATCCATTCCTCGCCAGCGGCAGTTCTGTTTTATTCGCACGCACTCCTCCTAGAACCTAGCTCAGACGCACACCCATCACGCATCCGGTATCTGTCTGGTGACTTCAGAGTTGCTTAGTACCGTGTTTCACACCCTGGAGCTGATGAGTGTGAGTGACGGACACACGCAGGAGGCGTCCCTCGCCATGTCAAAATTTTAGGCAAGTGCCGGTGGGAAGCTTCTGCACGTACCACGCAGTGTACAGGTGTGTGCAAGGCTTAAGTCAACTGTTCACTTTTCCAACACACTTGCATTCCCAGTATTTGAAATAATCAATTAAACACCAGGTACCAATTTAACTGGTGGTTTTTGAACTCTAAGTCAATACATAACGAAGATAAAAAACGCCGTCAATTTCTTTATAACTGCACCCTCTAGTGGACTATTTGTCTATTAAAAAATAAGACCATCACACACGGGATCCCACCCGCACCCCAGCCAGTCTCTGCTTAGAGAACCTGCTTGGCGTCTGCCTGTCCTTCCCTCCCTGCGTTCTCCCCACCCCGTTCAACAAATAGGTGAAAACAGTTTAAAAAATACAATATAACCTTGAATTTAAAAACTATCTAAAACATAGTATCTTAAATACAACAGACTGTGGCCTAGCTCCACCAAGCTTACACACATGGTCGTCCGAGTAATAAGCCTTTTGGGTTTAAAAAGACAGTTTCAGACAAATGACCACCCGCTCCTCTCCTTTCCTGGACTACATTCTCAGGGAAGCCTTGCCTTGCAGAAACTTAGTTGAAAGGTCGGCCCTCTCTCTCAGCATGCTGGCCTCCTCCACACTTGTGTTCACCTGTGCGCTCCTCAACAGGAAGTGGCTGATGAAGAGCTTCAGACCTTCTCTCAACAAGCCCAGCTTTGGGTTGTCAGACACTCTGGAAGGGAGGCGCATAAACGTGCATCAGTGATGAGCTAGTCTCTCCAGACTGCAGTTTCTAGGAATCTCCAATTGGGAGGCATAACCTAATTGCTTTTAAAAATAGAATTCTCAATTAAGAGCTTAACAACATATTCTACGTGTTAGAAATCATCATTAGTTTGCTATTAGGCAAGTTTCATGTTCCCCAAATTGAACGCGTAAGATATCCGCGTAAAATGAAAACTGAAAATAATGTATTAAGCTGCACCGAATGTGTAACAACCTTGCTTTTTCTAAGTCAACATAAGTGAAAATAATTCTCTTCTTCTCTTTTCCATATGTTTTAACAAAATAAGCTGGGAACATACCTTGCAAAAATTGAACCAAGGTCTTCAACTTCTGTTTCCATTAAGAGAATATGTAACACTTTTCGTAAAAAGTGGACTCTGGGTTTATCCAATTCACTGAATTCAACTACCTAATTAGAGTCAGGACAGACAGAACAAGTTACGTTTAGTCAATTTTTTCAATAATTTCTAAAAATAGAGTAAAAAAATCACCCGCCCCCTTTAAGTAAGACCGTTTCCAGCTACAAAAGATGAAGCGCTGCGGGCGGGCAAGGGCGTGGGGCCACGGGGGTCTCGTGCGCTCTACCAGCAGAGGGGTGTGCACACCGCTGTCGAGAGCAACCTGCCCCTGCGGAGTTTCCATGAATCAGGAATTTAATCCTAGAACTGAAACATACTTATCTCCATGCCTTAGAGAAACTACCCCCTAATTAAAACCATACATAGAAAATTTGGATCTAGGTGGAAAAATAACTCATATACATTCTCTAAGAATTACACATAAATTTTGGTACACTTACACAATGCAATATTGCACAGAAGTGATGAATCAGAGAACAGAATCACAGATATTAATGTGGATATATTTCAAACTCATGTTGACTTAAAGAACTGTGAGAGGATATTCGGAGCGTGGGGACAGGATGCTGCTGTCCACACGGAGGGTGACGGTGTGTGAAATGAGAGACGTGCCATCTGAGGGAAGAGTTCAAAGCACGCCTGAGAACCAGAGAGGGCCCTGTGAATGGGTGGTGGTGGGAGGGGGGGGAGCGAGGACCCTGGGACAAGCTTCAAGGACATCTCCAGGTTCTACTGAATCTAGAGAAACACCGTATCCTCTTCCATTCAGAGCTCAAAACTTGAGTGAACTGCAAGCAAGATCTAGTCCAGCAATGAGAAGGCATGTCCTCTCCACGCTGTATAGTACTCTCATTTTTGGCTCAGTGGCCCAAACCTAGTCCCACACCCCAAAGAGGCACAGGGCGAACCCACCTCAGTGCCCTGGTGGACGAACACAAGCGCATAAGCAGGAGACCACACCTGCAGCGTCTGCAGGTCAGGAAGCACGAGGCACAGAAGCCCGGGCCCAGCACTCTCTCTGGCCCTCAGCTTCCCTCACTGTCCCCGTTTTTAGGATGCCCAGGCCCCAGTGGTCCCGCTGTCCAGGCCTGACGGCCACCTGGAACTCCACATCCTCTGTCTAGGTTCTCCTGTCCACTCCAGACCAACAGCAGGGCACCTGCACCTCACTGGCTCGGATGCGACGCAGAAACACGGCAGGGCTGGGGTACGGGGGGGTCGCCCATCAGAGGGAGAAGCAGAGAGTCCTGCACCACAGCTCACCTGCTCCTAGGCCTCCCCATCCCCCTCCCGACTTAGCAGCGGCCAATGGAGGATTGAGAACTAGGACCTCCATGTGAACCCAAAGTGCAAACGAGATTCTTGGAGATGAGCAGAACAACTGTAACCGTGCCTTTGTTTACTCGGTACATTCACGTGGCAAGCTACGCTGGCTACCTTCTAGGATGGCCAGGGCATTACAAACACACTTTCCAGGTAAGTCAGAATCTAAGGAAAGGCATTTTCTTAAGGTACCAAATATAAACAATTATACTATCATTTTCATTGCTTTTAATAATTTCATCCATGATACAAACCTTTAAAATAGAAAGTGGAAGTGATTTCGTCTTCAACAAGTGGGCTACCAGGTGAACCAAATTAGAGAAATTAGTGGCTGGCAAATTTTCTAAGTCCCGAAATTTATCCCAAATGCTGAACTGGAAAGTCATCTAATAGAACAATTGAAAAAGAAGAAGGAAGAGTCACAATGCAGCCCACTGTTAGAACAAGTCGCTCAGGACGTAATCTAGACGGATTCTACCGCTCATCTGCTTGTAGTGTCTTCAAAGTCAAGTCAGGATGAGCCAGGAGCAACACACCCTCCATTCCTACACACAGTGCCACAGTAATTTCTTTCTCTTGAGGGTTTTCCCCTCCAACCGGCAGAAATGTTGAGAAAGATCAGAGAAGGCTGGTGCCACCTAAGAACAAGGAGGCACTCCCCCGGGGACAGGGGCCACACGACACCCTCCTCTGCCACAGGAAAAGGGGGCCCGGCACCCTCTGCCCTGGTCACTCCGCCTCTGCAACGCCCCCCTGCTCTCCCCGAGGGGGCCTGGCCGCGGGCGTGGGCCCTGGGACTGTCCCCCTGCACACAGAGCTCGGCCCAGGCTGGACGCCTCACTCGGCGCTCGTTCCCAGTGGGCGGAGCCAGAGAGAATGTCTAGGAAGACAGCGGAGCACAGATGACTTGGCGGGCTGCTAGCGGGTTACCTGGAACCTCCTGTGGTGTTCACAGAACTTGCCAGCCAGGAATGCGTAGAAAGGGTTGAAGGTTTTCTCTTGAAGGCAGCAATCCATGAGAACATGAACGATCTCCCGCTCCTGCTGGTCCTTCAGCCCAAGCCTGCAAAACAGAGACGGCGAGGAGTAAGACATCTTTGAGGAGAGCACATCCTGCCTGGCAGTTTGGTTCAAAGGGGATGGAGGAGAGGAGGTGGGAGTCACAAGACTCCCACCTCGCGCCCGGGCATTCTGCATTTGAAGCACATAAAGGAAAATCACTATCGGATTTGTTGAGAAAGTTTGTGAAGGTACACAGGTACTTTTAATATCCTTTTATTTATTTATTTATTTTAAAGATTTTATTTATTTATTTGACAGAGAGAGACACAG